ATGTTTGATCTAGATGTCTACATCAATACATATACAATAAAAACACAGTTCCACGTTCATCAAAAAATTCAAGCCATATCTCAATTTATTAAGTATCTACGATACGTATCAAAATTTTACGAAGTGGCATAATAAGTGCCAGACTATTTCACAAAGAAACACTGTTCTGACATATTGCTCACGATATAAAACAGAAGCAGCTGTCACGGGGAAATATTGGTGCGTAGTCGATAATGTACGTGATATGCATAAATCTCATTTTCAAGATCCCTGCCAGTAAAAATAAAGATGAGAACAGACAGCGTCTACGAACGGTATAGTGAGTGATGAAATATTTTATCGTTTATTTGGCACGAGATAACGCTCGCGGCGATACGAGATCGCGGCACAAAGTAGATATCATGTGAACACCAATATTCCACAACTTTTCATTTTCGTGATCGCGGCCGAAAAATAGAATTTTTGTGATAAAATACATCATCGGTTATATATATAACTGCGATGGAATCTACAAAATTTAATAAATTTTTCCAGATTTCCAACAAAAATTGTTTCCTGATATACAATAAGAAAGCATCTCATACGAGATACGAAAAAATTAATCCGAGGAAGAATAAAGTGAAATAAGAAAATAATAAAACAGACAATAAAAGAATTCTATTTCATATAAAGTGCACAATAAAGTATACGATAATGATAAGAAGTAAAATCGAAATAAAAAACCAAGAAATAAATATAAAGCACATGAATTGTGCGCGTACTGTAAATTGCTGACAAATAAACCTGGCTGATTTGATTTGAAACTAAACTGATAACGTCAAGTTGTAGATAGATTGTCTCATGCTGTTGAGCTAAGGGATAAAATTGCAACACGTCGCTAAAACAACAGCCCGTGAGAGCTGTGCCATCGCTCGCTCCGTTCCTACATAATTCAATAATGAAACATGCGATCAGATAATGAACGAGTGCATAGAATCTTGTCACGTGTCGACGCGATCGTATCTTCAGCAACATGTGTTCCGAAACGCCATTGTCATTGTCTGCCGTATAATATCGGTAAATCTAAAGAGTAACAAATTGAACTTGAGTGCAGTCACGATTTTATAAAACGCAACGAAACATTCGCACGAATAAGGGGGCAGGGAAATTGTCCTGTTTTAACATATAAAATAAATCTATACTGCCGCCTTTTCTGGAAGATATTAATAACAGCATTAACTTGAGACTATATATATATATATGTCTGCAAGATCTATGTGAGATATTCATTTTCAAGATGATCCAAAAGACAAATTTCTGGACTCTTGACTTAAATAAAGCAAACGCGAACGCATATAAATGCATAAATTTAGTTTAAAGCAAAGTTTAAACTTAATTATAAATAAACAAAACAATTTTATGTAAATAAATTGTCAATTCAATATAATTTAACCAAATAATATCTACAAACAAACCGATTAAACGATAACGACGTTGGTGATAAAACGTCATTTCGAAATTTCCCATCAATATTGTCGGTCGTAATAAACGACACGCGCGCGAGCGGCGTAAAAAACGTATGCATGCGCCCGATTTCGATGTACACGGGCATTCCCGTAATTCCACAACACTCCCAAACGCGAACGTTGTGCTTGAACATTCGATGAGTTTCCGTGTCGTTTTGTTTGCCGATGTTTGTTATGTGATAGTACCTATTCATCGGTGGTACATCCAACTACAGGTTGGATACAACGATAATACATGCTCGACGGTACCTGGTAACAGCGTCGAGTGAATTTATTATATGCGCAAGAATTTATGCCCCCTTCATATACCTGCGCGTAATATAAATTTATATGGTTGAAATTATAAAGCCGAAGTCTAAGGGCCAAAATTGTAAACCTGGTGTGATGCATCGTTAAAGTTACTGACGGAACTATCGCCATCGCGGTGCTGCTATTTGCATCAGTAACTGTTAATAACAAACGTTATCTATAATTAAATTAATTTCATTATTTTGATAGATAATTACGCTTTACATTTAAAAATATAAAAAAAATGATAAATCGATTATTGTATGATGTCAAATAATGAATCCCACATCTAAAATTTGTATTTTTAAAACAGTCTATTTTAATTCCTTCGTACAGATTGTTGTAACTTTGTTACATTAATGATGCATCAACGGTGACAAGCATCAACTTGATCGAACGACGTTATGTCTTCCCGACGTGTAAACCTGTCGAAGATCACCACGGGACAAGCGGATGCTATACGTACGCACGGTGCATCGGTCTCTTGAGAAATTACACGTCACGTGCATGTGAGTGTCAGAGAACGTGCGAGTGGTCGCAACAGTGGTAAATCACTGCCGCGACCGCTGGAAAATGTATCTGGCAGAAAGCCGAGAAAATTGCGACCCCATTCAACAATCACCGTCCCATATCGTCGTATTACTTGTTCAAACTGTTTATTTATCGGGCATAAAGATATAAAGACGTTAACTTGACGAAGACCACTAACGACTTCGTTAAATGTTTCAAGCATATTAATTATGCAAGCGTGGAATACAATACTTTAATTCTGGAGATAATTGGTTGAAGTTCAAAATTCGCAATTACGAAAATGTCAAGGTCGCCAAAAAATAAATTTCGAAATGAGCAATCAAAGTGGAAAAGGACCAATGATATTGCATAAAGTTCACTACATATCAATCCATTATTTTTTGTTAACTTTTATAGCTCGGATAATATTGAGTTCTACCGTTCAATTGACCATTGCTGATATTCTGACAGATTAATAATGAGAAATTTTAACTGTTACATGGAAATTATTCAATTTAGGGCACAAAGAAAAATTTTCTTCTTCCTTCTCTTCTCGTATGTTTTAAAATAAGTCTGACGTGTTATTTATCACAATATAAATTGATTATTATAATTGTAATTGCACATTTACCTGCAAGAAACTAAAAGATAATATCAAAGATAAAATAAATATCATTTAAATTAAAAATAAAAAAATAATAGAAATGCAATAAACTCAATTTAGTAAACTCTATGTGATCAATCCACTTAGTCACATATAATTCGGAAACGATTCCGACTACACCATTTTTGTACCAAGATTTTTTATCTTTCATTAATTTCTAAAATACGCTATTAAAGTATTGTATGATAATCGTAAGAGATCCTATACTCATCAAATTACGCGAACTGTATTGTTATTTTACACCTAATTACTATTAAGTTGTAATAGGTCGCTTATTAATTAGTTCATTGTAGTTCTCTGTATAGAAGTAATAATTGTCACACGCGAATTAACATGTCAAAAAAGTAGAGCTGCTTGACAGCTTGGCGCGAGAATCCGTTAATTTTCGAGGCAATGAGGCCGTGATAAATCTGTCGCGCGGAAATCGCGAGGCGAATCGCACAGCGGCGCACTTTAATGACCTATATTTCGAATGCCGGGTTTTGGGCTATCACAAAAGTACATATCGTCCATCCATTCACACGTCCATAAAAAAAAACAAGATGAAGAGGCGGTTGAACAAATACCCCCAATATCTATTCACAGTAACCAGAGTATAAACGCGAAAGTGGTTTTTCTTCAGCTGAACGCACCGCCAGGCTGATGTCAGCGGCCTGCACCACTCGAAAAAGGATGGACGCGGAATAAATTTCGGCTATTCGCGTATTCTCAATAATCGCACGTCGTGTATGAGAGCTCGTCGATGTTAACGGCATTTGCTGCTCGGCACATATGTACGAAATGTATGCACGGATGCGCGATAGCGGGCTGTTTGATTGATGCGAGTTCCACGGTCGTTCAGTAAGTATATAGAACACAATACTCTACGAGAACTTGACACGCCAACAATTTTTTAAGTGATTGCAGAAACAGCGATATGTATATTAGCTGTTACACGCGTCGCTTTTCTTTCAGGAAAAATTGCATCAGTCAATTCTATGAAAATTTCATCGAATTATTTTAAGATGATTTATTATTTCAAGATGTCAACCTGAATTTTTTCAGTTTATCGCGAATTGAGCATTAAATTCTCGATATTGTGAGTTAACGTTTATGAGCTGACTGTAAGCACTAAGGGGATTCCTTTAATATTCGAAACATATATCGCGATGCGCGATTATACGCGTGTGTATAATCTGCGGAAGTGCCTGTCGCGGTTTACGCATTTAGCGAAGTCTCACGGGACATCATATTCTGTCGTGCATTGGATATGTGTACGCGTACATGTATCAGCCCGTACCATTACGAAAGAATAAATCCTACGAGCCGATATCGACAGCGACAGAGCGCAATGCCGATAAAAGAAAGAAAAAAACTATACCGAATTTTTCCGAAGGGCGAAAGAGCAAAAATAAAATATTTGCATATGTTTCTTTCATCCGTGGAAAAACGTTTGCAAAATAAGTTTGCTTCTACATAGTATATTCTTTGCTTATTCTATATTCGAAATTCACCCACACTCATGTACGGACGGTGGCACGAGTGGTAAATGCACAATGCAAAAATTCCAGGTGCTTCGATACACGAAATGTGAAAACATCGAATAATACGCGGCAGGAATATTAAAACTGTGTTATCAATTTGCTCGTGCACGTAACGGTACGAAACGAGCGCGGATAAATAGCTCTGCAGTTTGCGTCTAAAAAAAAGTAGTTCGAAGCAAAACTATAGCAAAACGTTTATCGATCAATTCCCAGAAAACGTTGATATAACGCACTAATTTACAATCGTTTCCAATTGAACGTAGGTTTAACGTAAATAAACATGAAGTGCTTATAGTCACTGCATCGTACGTCATAATCTTTTTAATAAAGTTTGTATAAATTATTTGTAAATTAATCCCTATTAAAAGTGGGGTACACTAGATTAGAATAAATCTCGAAAATATATCGCTATCCGATTGAAATTGTCCGGACGACAGCGGCGACGCAGATCATTAAAGCCGGATCGATCGGTACATTTACAGGATTATAGTAACAATGGAAAAAACTCACGTTCTCTTCGACGGTCTTCTTGATCTTCACGCTGGCCTCCACCACGGTCTTCCCAGCCTTGTTCACGGCGCTGTACAAGAATCCGCCGAGACTCTTCGCACCAGCCAGTGCCTTCGTGGAAACTGATGGCAGAACAGAAAAAGTAAAATGAGAATAAACGCAATGTTCGTGAAAGAGGGCCTTTCTTCGCAGTTAACTCAACGGTGTTAAAGTAAAAAACACCGTTGAAGTAGGTCATAGCTATTACATAAAAATAGGCAAGCGTAAAGTTCTATAACTATTTTTCTTTCAAATGAGATGTTATTTTCATCTGTTAGAAAACTACTAATTAAATAAAAACTTAGTGCCATTTAATTTAATTTTATTAAGCTTTTTCCCTAACTTATTCAGAAATACTTATTCAGAACAAATTAGATATTACTTTATACTTATAATAATAACTATTAAATAACATGCATGCATCATTCATGTCATTTTCTTTAATCTTTTAAATTCCATACCTACAATTTTTTTGTTATACACATAAGGTTAGAGTAAAGATTCGAGACACTTATACATCACTAAAAGAATTGTCTAGAAATTTAGAAAGTTTAAGTAGTAGATATAAATGACGCTTGCATGTCATTTAAGACTTAATATTAAGTGTCAGAATTTAGCAAAAAATATTATATATATTACAAAAAAATCTACACTGTAACACGTTGAGTAGCCAAAAATCACGCGATATCAGATCAACGTGTAAATGGCTATTCAGAAGTATCGCTGGCTTGTTCTAACCCGGATACGTCAGATAGATTTCTCACGAGACTCCTTTGCCAAGAATTCTGACTTCGCCATTCATCACAACCCGATGAGAAAAGGAAATGGTCGTGCGGCGATAGTGATAGAAGCGACTGGCGCGAATCGCTTTTCCGAAGTACAACGTTACGAGATCTCGTACGTTAAATATAATACGAGCTATGTATAACTTTCGCTGTATTCAGCTGTATTCCATCGCCAGATGTTCCCGATGTACGATATAAATTTCAGTGCGACGTGGAGACACGACTGGTACGCAAAACCCGTAGGTACATTTATCCTTAGTTGTTGTTGAATATTGTGTCACATATCGTCTTCAATGTGTGTGGATAACGCAATTAAATACAAATCGCAAAATTATACATGTGTGTATGTATATGCATACTTTTCATGTACAATCTTAACGAAATAACTTTTTTTCTTTCAAATCCATAGTTTAGAACCCGCATGAAATATATCGAGTTAAAAAAAAGAGTGGTAATCCCTTTTTTTGTACATTTATTCCATTTCATGCTTCAGCGTAGCTAACATATCCGCGGATAACGGTAGAATTATTAATTAAGCGAGACGTATATTTCACTATTCAAAAAATAAAAAAATGTAATAACGTTCGCGAGAGAAACGTTACATTACACACGACATACTGAGAGGGATATACGGCGCATTATATACTTTGTCGTCTAAACCGCGCGTCATAAATAGATTGCCGTTTGCTCGCGTAACGCATCGACGGAAAGTTACATTGACATTTAACACTTTCAGTAAAATAGAAAACGATTCACCTCTTCTTATAGCTTTAACGACTCGTGGAAAGGTCGGCCGGTCTTGGTCTTCGGTCGCAGCGTTTCAAACTGCCATGCCATAGTGTACCTCATCGTACAAACCAACATATCAACGTGATTCCGTCGTAACCTAGAGCACTTTAGAGGTAGTTTCGTGGAAAGCTGTAATGCCGCGAGCGCGTTTTTCCACTAATTTGATTCGCAGGAATTTTATACGAAACGGTTATTGCAGGTCAGCTTTAATCTCAAACCCCAATTTTTGCATAATTATATAATCTAGGTTATATAAAAGTTCCTATCGAAACAGACTCAAGTATTTATTTTCTCGAAGCGATAAATAATCCATATAGACGCATGTCCATAAAGAAAAAAGTCAATTTTTTTTTAGATGTCACGAAAACGCGATATTTCCCTGAAATTTAAAGGAAAGGAATAATTGGCAATAAAGGTTTAAAGGTTTTTGACGAGACAACTCTCACAGGAATCATGAACGAGTGCAGCGAGTCGCTTTATACGAGCCATAGAAATGAAACTGGAATAGCTAGTTAAAACACACAGCTTTAAAATGGAAAACACGTATTTTTTTTTACGTATCACGTGGCAGCTGTACCACAACAATGCTGCAACGTTGCGATAAAACGACGCCAGGTCTTTTGTGAAGGATATTTGAACATTCGCACGTATATTCGCCCCTCGAGGAAATTTACGAAGGCGCGTCTTTAGCATGCATAGGCAAGGATATGCGGAGGTTGCCTCTGTAACTCGGTTGCCCCTATAAACTAAAGGCGATTTAATCAACCGGATTGAAGCACTTCAATTCGCGCAGCTTCATCCTTCACCCTTGCCTATCTCCATCCGATTCGCTGCAAGCAGGCGGCTATTAAAGGGAACGAATCAGTGTAAAATACACGTGGCTCCGTATATATGGTGCCGCTACATAACGCTTAATAACAGTTTCTAGCTCCGCAAGATGCAGGCGCATCGGATAATTGGCGCCGCGGTCCAGGAGTTGAGATTACACGGCAGGCTTAACTCCAGCCGAGATACCCGAGAATCGCCAAACAAGTGTCAAGTATTATAACCGCCCTCGTGTCACGTCGAGATAATTTGTTGGTATACCAAATCTGCGGATTGCATAAGTATACATAAAGATTTCGAGATATTGGGCAATTTCAATCTCGCGAGGATCTCGGTGCAAAGCCAACAATAATGGACTTTTAAATTGTAGACAGAAAAGGATTATGCTTATCCACGAATAACACAAGGCTCTTCTCGTTTCTCTCTAGAATTTCTCCTTACGTTTTAGGCTATAAATAAGTATAATGAGAAATAACTGTTGTCGAACTAATCGTTGTTAATCCACGAAAATATATGTGACAGTTATAAGCAACTAAAGAAAAATCTCTCGTAAATTGATCGACTAACGAAACCTGTCGTGATCAAAACCCCGTAATTGCGGCGCGGATGATATACGATACTTGTTTGTTAACGAGATATATTCCCGTTTTATCTCCACGAACGAAACAGAGCAGATCTTCAGCAGCGACGAGAAAATTCGTCGACGTCGCGTCGCCGTTGTCCAGTGAAAAGTTACGAAAAAGTTCGCTCGGCCGACGACGACGTCACTTGACAAACTTTCATATGACGGAACTCTGGTATAGACGTGACGAGAAATCTCGCGTTTTGGTCACCGTTATGAACACATCACACTTAACCGATACCATGCGCGAAAAATACTAACGGCCATTTGACTTTACTGACTTCACAGTAACTCGCGCGACTTGTGAACGCGGAATATCTTGATTAGATATCGCTGTGTTTTCAACACATTGATAAAGAGTTATCAACGTTATCGTAAAAAATTAAAACTTGATCTTGCTTTTCTGTTCCATTGCACCCGCGTTTGATATTCCTAGAGAGAAAAATTGATCTTAAATATGGAATCCACTTTTCGTTTTTATCGTTATTACTCTTTCCCCCTCCCTCTCTGCTACAACACTTTATATTGAGACAACTTTATATTAACACTTTACATTAATCAACGAGTCGATCAAAATAATTCTTATTTAGCCGCTTTATATAATTCTCAAGCTCATGTTAGAAAGGTCGCATATATTTAGCGACGGAGCACCTTTGTGATATTAATGGCATAATCCTTATGTCATAATCTCATGTCCGGTATGTTCCAGGTTGATGACGTCGATAATTGTGTAATATGTCGGAAGGATAGCGGTGACTAAGAACAATCATAAAGGAAGCGCACTACGTGACCGATATAGTGTTCCTTCGACCCATTAACGGATGATAACGGTTTTGCTATACGATATATAATGCGTGACCTACAACGTTACACATGTACACACGCATACAGCTGTCAAGTAGATATCTCTTGCTATCTAACAACGGAATATACCTGCACAACATATAATGATGTACAAATAACCTGACCTGACAAAGCACACGTTGTGACACTTGTCAAATAAATAAATAAATA